TATTATTATTATTATTATTATTATTTTATTTTTTAAACTTGTATTCAACTTTAATATTTATAGTTAAAATGTGGGAAAGGGATTCTGAAAGTCCAGAAAAGTGCGCTAATGATCTCCCCCATACGTCACATACACTTTTTACTAAATAAATAAATATTTCTAAGTACTTATAGTCCCTGTAGTTATTATTTTTCCTTTTGTTATTGTATACGGTACGTAATACCTATATTTGGTATCCACATGGGTGAAAAATAAATTTACAAGTTCTCTACAAGTATCTCTACAATGTATCTGATGAAGCTGATTTTGGTCAAACATAATCTCGTGACAAAATCTCGATCGTCATAATTAAAACCAATCCATTCTCTCTCACCCTTTGTCTTAGCAGTAGTGGATAATATTCCGAATCATTGCTGGAATCGTCTTCAAATACAATCATTCATAATCGTCGAGCCGTAACAACACTTCGGAGGTACATGCACGTTGAAAACTGAATTTACTCCGTATTTTACCCGACGGATTTTCGCAATGTAAAATTACTCTCGTGTAAGCAATTTACACTTGAGTAAAGTGTTGGTGAAACGCTTCAAGAAGTTACTCTCGAGCAGTGTTGCCATATCGGCGGAATTCTCGCCGTTTTCAGCGGATTTTGAACTCCTAAGGCGGAAAAATAATTCGTTTCGCGGACAGCGGAATAAAAGGCGGCAATTAATAGAGTTAGTAAAGCAATAAAATTAGTAAATCATCAGTTTTCGTTAACCTTTATTAATAATTTCTCTTGCACAGATGTTGTATATTTTTAAAATTTCTAAATCCATGTTACTAGCAAGAATAAATAATATAATACTTTTATAATAAATTATATAAGAACTTAAATCAATTGTTATTATTTTTCAAATTTCCACCCAAGTAATGCATTCTATATTATCTAAAAACTGAATTGCAGGTTCAATAAAGCCACTATATTTCGCAATCATATTTTTGTTTTAATTGAATAAATTAATACATTTAAATATGGAAAAGGAATCTATTTTACGTTTAGCGGATTTAGGCGGGAAATTTAAAAACCAGTTCAGCGGATTTTCGGTGGAAACTGAAACGAACATGGCGGAATCTCTCTAAACACATCAGGCAACACTACTCTCGAGTAAACATGATTTACTTCAGAGAAAACTCTTACTCTTTGTTTGGTGAAACCGGCCCTTATTACCACAGAAGAAATGTCATTAAAAATTAAATAAAATTTAAAAAATTAATGAGTGGTATCTTTTCTAGTAAGTGGGTCAAATTATATAAATCGGTATTCACAGGAAGAATGTTTTAGTGTAGTTAACTGCATTGGGTTTATTCACTTGCTTACAAATTTACCAAAAATTTGAATGACTTGACTTTAAGCACACCCATGAACTGTGAAGCACCTCTCTAGTACGAGTATGAATGTATCATGAAATATGAATACAGAAGAGGGCTTTAGTAATTTACTTTATATGGATATTCTAAATGTAAGTTAGGTTTCATAATCCTAGAACACTAATACTTTGTAATTTTGAAGTCTACCACGAGTGCATTGGGCTCAATGGAATTTTGAATCCTGTATTCAATAAAAGTGGGACTTGTCAGAGAACACTGTCGATCCTCACATATGTAGATTACCAGTGTATCATTATGACCCAGCTTCCACAAGGTGTACGTTACGGCAGTCAAGTTGATACATTATTTGTGTAAAGAAAAAATTATTTGATTCTAAAATATTACTAAAATAGTGAATACCTTGGTTAACAAAATGAATTAGGGAAGAAAAAGATTCAAATTTTTCACATTGCTCTTAATCCTTTTGCTGTAAAATACTTTTTAAATGTGAGTCCTCATATTTACTCCATTTCTATTTTACATATCTAATAAAAGAATACTAGTATTTATATGTACGTATTTTATTTATTATCAAATTTTATATATATTCACATAATGCAAATTTCCAAGTCAAGCTATATGAACTGAACAGGACAGAACAGCTGATCACAATTTCATGGTAGCAACACACACAGTTGCCACAATTTGGAACTTCTTGCATTGCGACTTATACATTTTATTATAATTTTGACTCGATCATGCAAATCAAGATTCCTCGATTTCACCCGTTATTGACATTGATAGTACTTCCAATTGCTTTAACATTCGAGGTGGCTCAAATTCCCTCGTAATTTGAAGTATCCTGACAGGGTGCCAATTCTGTACTCACCATGGACACCTGAATATCTAGATGTATACTATCAGAGATTATACTAAGCATCAAAAAGGAAAGTAATATTGGTTTTAACAAAGATATTTAATGAATCCATCATCATTTGGACTTTATAATTTTAAAAGAATAAATATGTCTGCAATAATAGCTCAATGACTCCAATGTTGGTCAGGTTTTTCGTCCAATTTCCCTGATAATTTGAATGACGAGATAGTCCTTTGTTTTGCTTCTGAACATAGATGAAACTTCACTATATACATTTCCTAGAGATCAATGAGTAGTATAGTTATTCAAATTAACATTCTTCATGTTGTTATAAGAGAAAGTCGATTCCTTCACAAAGGGCAGCATGTTGACATGTTGAGATAAACAAAAATCAGTAGCTTTTTTCCCTTTGCAAATAGTTTTTATTATACAGGAGCTATTATTTTTTATTGTTTTTGTCAAAAACACTTGTTTCCACCTGTATTTATAATTCAAATTGTATGTGGGTAAGAGTAGAGATGCCAGAATTTAAGAAAACACTTGTCTCCAAACGATAATGCTCAGAACACTTCTCCCCATTGTATGCCACACGTCAGTCATCAGTTTTCAATTCCTTCTTGACGTTAAATAAATAAATCTGTTTCTTGAAATATACTTTGATTAAAAAGCAAGACCTGAAACATGACTGACTACTTACTCCCTAAAAATGGAAATGCACTATTTTCAGTATACTAGTTCAAATCCTTAGCTTTGTTTCTATGTAATGGGAACTCAAATCTATTCCACAAATGTTATAAGAAATAGAATGTCAAACCTCATTTCCTCAAATATATATGAACAAAATATTAATGTGCTGTTTATGTTCCTTTTACAAATATCTCAATTTCTAGTAACATTTTGAAGTGAAAACAAATTTGTGGTAATATTTTGGATTTGCCCCCCCCCCATTGTGTTTTTTGTCAGTTCCTCAAGTGTTCTGACAAAAATTGAGAGCTTTAGACCCAGTGTTTCCAAATGTTTATTGCACATGTCGCGGAATAAACATGCAAACATAATGCCCAAAACCAACCATTTCCATATTTTAATATTTTAAATTGAAAAACATAATGTACAGAGCCATTGAGTTTGCTTTTCAAAATAACAATATAAATGTAGAGTATCAGTTCAAATAGAAATATTTCCATTTCCACAGAAATATGTTTTTTGTTCGACCTATCACAGACACAGATGGATCATTTATTACCCAAAACCATTTACATGTACAGCAATGTCAGGATTACAAGAAACTTAACAAACACTGATTTCACAAATCTCTTTAGAGCATATAGTGGATTTTAAATCAATACCAATTTAACAACTCTGTCAAAAGTCACTCAGTTACTTCCAATATATTCCAAATATTCACTCAGTTCCAACTACTTTGTGGTTAAATACATTCCATACTCTGTTCAAAATGGGCTAATTGTGTACATTTAAAAGTTTTTTTGGTTTCAGGAAAAGTTTGCTTTGATGGAAACAACTTCATTTCAATACACTCTAAACAAAGAGTGAATAAATACCTGGTAAATTATCAGTAGTTTCTGGATAATGCCAGCTTCTTCGTCTATGGATTTCACGATGAACACTTTGTTGATGCAACGATAAATTTAAATCCCGATTCCATGTCGAATGATCTGATTCCTCCTTTAAAATAAGGGTTATCCAAAATTAAAACAACATCTTTAGAAATAAATGAAACACAATATTTACTTGGCTATTCAGTAGACATTGCATCTTAGGCACAAAATCCAAAATTTCAGCCATCACGTTGCAAACTTCCTCAGGGGAAAATGTATTTCATGCTGGGCAATAGATACTGACTCCACCACAGAAGCCTATGCTTTCACTTGGAGCACACTTCGTACTTTTATTATCAAATACCGCACATTCTACAAGCAGAAAGTTATGACTATACATACTTAATAATTTCTCACAAACTAATTCTAACCAGAAAACGTTAGTCTATCTGCCAATCCATTATTAATTTAGAAAATGTGATACGAATTTTACTTATCTTTTTGTTACAATAGTAAAAGAAAGTTTCTTCAAATTTCAGTTTTACATGCCACATTTTTTTAACCCTGGTATACCTTCTGAATTGCACGTAAAATTTTGAAAATTGAAGTGAAGTCACGGTTTCATAAATGATATATAAAACACCAGTGCTGTAACCAAGATTTTTATATCTGAGAGCAGTAGGTGGGCTGTAGGTGGAGAGTCAAGCACACATGATATATTCTTCAAAATAATTTTTTATTTATGTTGAATTTAAAATTAGTTGCTGTTTATCAATTGAAAGTTAATAATAACTTGACTACTTCACTACTTACTTACCCCCTACAAACACACACTTCAGATGCACCACTGTAAACCTAGTAAGAGTTCATAGTTCATAAAAATAAAAAAAAAAATACAAACCTGATGCCAGCTTTTATTTGGTTCAGAGTTCTTTTGCAAGTTTATAGGTTTTGATTCATCATCATTTTGAGAATTTTCTTGAGATAGGACCATGTTAATCTTCTTGGAATGTTCATATTTTTTCAGACACACTTCGTCTTTCTTGTCACTGGTTTCCATATTTTTCTTCAATTTTGAATTAACAGCTTTGTTATAATTTTCTTCAGGCAGAATCTTATTCTTCTTTTTTAATTTTTCTTTATTCTTTTTAAGATTCTTCTCTTGATTTTCTTGTTCTTCTCCCTTTTTCACCTCTAATACAGTAGACTTAACCTTTTTAGACTTTTTTTCATTATTCTTAAAATTCCTCACTTCTATTTCTTCTCCATTATTTGGCCCCTCTATTCTTGCTTTAGAGGATTTGCTCTTTTTACAATGTTTTGCATTGTTTACAGAGCTAGTTGACTGTTCATCCTCATCACTTAAATCAATATTAATTATTTCAGAGGGACGTTTCTTATTATCTTTTCCTGTCACAAAACAAATTTCTTTCTTTTTAATGTAACCTGGATTAGATTCATCTCGTTCTATATTACTTGGAAAAAATACTGCGTTTAGTACAGTACCATCTTTAAATGTTTCATTGTCATCAATATCCACCCACGTTCCAAATTTTACACTGAACTCTTGGAAAACAACATACGAATCTTCCAAGAGCTCTGAGAATGCAGGTTCACTCAGAATATGTTTTTTGAACTGTTCATACAATGTTTCATTCTTCCCATTTAGTGTAAACACTTTCTTTCTATTCAATCCAAAATTCACAAGAACCTGTCTCACTTTCTTCAAGTTTAGGGGTTTTTTTACGTCACATTCACATGTACACACAAGAGCATTTTTCTTGCTGGGGTCAGATTTTTCTTGCTTGATTTGAATTGGCTCCAACATTTCTATTAGTTTAGTTGATAAAAATCTAAAAAGGAAAATGTTTACAGCACCGCACGTGTAATTTAAAGACCATTCACATCATCACCAACAAAAACCAACAGAGATGCAAACTACAACTTGCAACTAAAAACCGCGTGCACATCTTCGGGGCTACCAACATATACTCTCTGGCTACCAACTGCGGCTAAAATCTCGCGTGACTGAAGCGTCTTCCTGTAGCTGTATATTACGATTTATTTAGTCATGCACTTAACGTAAATCATCTTTTGCTGTTTCACCCAATCGAGAACTATGTCGCTACAGTGACGTACCTATGGAACTTCAGATTAGATGAAACCGTGAACACCTGATTTACGCCAAGTGCATAGTTAATAAATCTTCGTACAGATCGTACTCTTAGGGCCCCTTCCCACGGCGCGCTTCGCAGCAGCGCGGCGCGTAGCAGAGCATTGGTTTGAATGGAGGCCTTCCTACGTGCAGTGGGTGGCGGCTGCTGCGGCAGCCGACGCCGAAGTCCAGCTACGCGAAGCGGAGGAGGGGCCACGCGCCACGGCTAGCAGAACACAGCTTTAAATGGGAGCCTTCACATGCGCGACCGCGGCGCGCTTCCTTCAAGGAGCAGAGCCCTTCCGACGCAGCCACCGCCGGAGCCACGGCCGCACCGCCGCCCGCCGTGGAAGGGGGTGGGGTCTGGAGGGGTAGCTTTCGCCGACTCTCCGGCGACGACGAACAAAGGGACCGGAGCAGGTAGAACGCTGCGGCCGTGGAGCAGTGGGAACGCTCCCATTTAAAGCTGTGTTCTGCTAGAGGTGACGCGTAGCCCCTCCGCTTCGCGTAGCTGGAGTTCGGCGTCGGCTGCCGCAGCAGCCGCCACCCGCTGCACGTGGGAAGGCCCACGTGCATTCAAACCAATGCTCTGCTACGCGACCGCGCCGTGGGAAGGGGCCCTTACTCAGCATTTCTGCACACGCAATGCGCGCGCCAATTAGCTAAAGTCATTTTTCACCTTCTGTTTTTCTTTATGCTGCTGGATTGGCCTTAGATGCTCATAAGTGTAGCAATGGTCGCACGGCGAACGTGTAATAAACTCTCTGACGTGCATTGCACTTTCCGCGCGTTCACAAAAGTGCACAAAGAGGGCTCTGCAGTCTGCTCTTTATCATGCAGTGTCAGTGCTTCTCTCAAAAGAGGCTCGCACAACTACATTATATAGAACGATTTTTATAAGAATGAGCCAAAGTGACAGTTCGCTAAACAAGGGAACATCACGTGTAATTCCGAGCAGTATCTCTCCGCGAGGCAGCCGTTTATATACGCCTGTTCGTGAAGTGATTACGGCTCCCTTAAAGACATACAAAAGCCAAAGAGTTTCGCTCAGAAGTTGAACTCAGAAGATGTGTTGCCAACACTACGGTCCATTCTTATAAAAATCGCTTTATGGTACAGGAATGACGTACCGTACCCTTAACTATAACTTATAATTACAACGTCCGTTCAATACAATGCGCGATGCTTTTGAATGTACTGTCCTGAGTCCAGACTAGCTCAACTCATTCTCATCTGCTACTTGAATGGGAACTATTGATTAAATCATGATGCTACCCTTAAATCAAAATAATTTAATGAATTTGTTTTAATTCTTTCTCTTTTGCTTTTTCACCGCTTTAACTAGATGACAAGATATTAGTATAAAGAAAACTAGTGATACTATAACAGCATATATTTTCTCGAAAAATTTCCACCTCTTTCAAGTTTTGAAAATTCGGAGACTTCAACTCTACCCGAAAAAAAAAGAACAAATCTGATCTTCTTTGAGATAAAAAAATATAAATTGTCTTTATTTCAAGAAAACTGACGCAAAAATTACAATTTTTTCAAAAAATTCAAGAACTAACTTTTTGTAACATATTAGAATAAGAAAATAAGGCGGCTTCCAAATTGCCCACTTTGCTTCATCAATCACATTTCATACATCTACTTCCGTGGCACAAGAGTTTGAATAATAAGAGTTCATTCCTATACATATCTTTCTTAGAGAATCCTTTCAATCCCAAATTATTATTACGAAGAAATAAAATATTTAAGGCATACAATTGATAAAGGGGGACAGAAGAAAACGTAAGTTTTAACATTCTCTGCACATTATTTGTTATGAAATGTTGACATATGGCTACAGTGGGCACATAGGAAACTTAATGTGCTATATACTTTCATAAATAAATACAGAACAACCACCCTTTTTTTCTAAGTCAATTTAAAATATCAGTTCTAATATATACCCTCAAAAAACGTTTTAAACATTTAGTCCCTAAAAATACCTGGAAATGTTTACTTGGACATTTTGCTAATTTTTACAAGAGTTGTTTGAACTTTCTGTGCGCCTGGAAGGCGTTACATTCTTTATAAATAAACGGCAGTTCTTTCTTTCGAATGCAATATAATGTTTACAATACAAGTTTTCTATCGCAAGGGCAAAAATAGGTATACAAATTGATCAACTTTTGAATTTATTTATACTAGTTTTGATCTGAAACATGATACACTTTTGCTACCCTTTTTGAATATAATATTCCTAGATTTTGCAGTTTGTCGAAAATTTAATAACTTTCATTCAGCATCTGAACAGAATTGAACAATATTTTTCTAGTATATACATTTTTCTCATCTTGATAGGAAAACAGATCACTGACGTGTTACTCGTCGCTACATCAAAGAAAATACCAAATTATTGGATTTATTTGATTTTTATACATTTATTAATACCTCTATTATAACAAAAATAATCTTTAATTCAAATTAGTTTTAAATCAATTCCTAAATGCAGTTACGATAGATTTGAATGATTCTCCATTTGTAGGTTATGTAAGTTTATGTGCCCGTTTTAGCCATATGGCAACAACTCATTTCTCATTAAAATATCTACCAAGCTTTTACATAATTCCATATACTGTGATAATCGGTTCTGTAAACAAACCCTTTTCTTCAGACGGAAGACACATTTATATCAGAAATTCACCACCGCTGAGAAATTCAACAAAAAATTGGACATTGCAGTCTCGTGAATAACATTTGAACGCGCACTTACAAGAAATAACTCCAGAAATCCACAGAACAAATGTATATCCTTGATATTTTTGTTAACTGATACAAATGAGTCATAGAAATGAATAAAAATCGCTATTGTTTAAAAATATATTCAAGTAGTAAAAATCAGACCAAGAAAGTGATGTAGCCGTATGGCTACAGTGGGACTGAAAGGGTTAACGACCATAAATAATATATTGGAGTCTGGTTAACGGGGCTTGGATAGTAGGAGCAAATCAAAATCCAAACATGGGTGTTTACCAACGTTCGGAAAACGTATTTCCATCCTCAGTACTATACAAAATTAGAAAGAACCAACTCTGTTACATAAAGCTACAAAAAAAACCTGTCAGACTCAATTCCAATATCTAGATGAGTTGAGCACATTTTTTTAAAAAAATATACAAGAGTTACATACCTTTCAATCACCAACAGATTAAATACATAACTAAATAACCTTTATTTTCTTGACCATAAGGCACCTCACATGAAGTGTGGAACATACATACAGCATCACCTCACCAGCACAC